GTCCTCGGTGACGGCGATGCCCTTGCCCCCAACCGTCCACAGAAAGTCGTCCTTAGTCACCTTGAGCAGCTGTTTCGGAGTTTTCACCTGCGGGACGGTGGCATTGYTGGGAACGACAACCTGAAGGTACTTCAAGAAACTCGCGAGGGTCGCTTGACCGGGCTCCTTTTGCAGACATGTGATCACCTCCTCGCTGAGCGCAGTGCTGAAGGCCGCGTTCGTGGGAGCGAACAGGATCAATTGCTCACCGACGAGCACTGTGCGCCCCTCCACGTTCCAGATTTCCGTGGTATCCACCAGCGCCTTGTAGAACATGGAAAACTGCATCTCGTTCTTAAGAATCTCGAACACTTTCGCGTCCTTGCCTGTCTTCACCATCGCCGCACTAGGGGCAGCCCCGCTAGCGGCAGCGGTGCTAGGGGCAGCCGCGCTAGGGGGAGCGTTCATGAAGGCTGCCTTCGCCATGGACGCGCGAGGGCTGGCGCTCATGAGGAAAGTCAATGCCACKGTGAGGGCGACGAGCTTCATTGCCGTCTTCATCTTCGTCGTCACTCTTCGTCCCACCTGCCGGAACAGAAAAGAGAGGATGCGACGAGATACCCACTGCAATGCAAGGGACGCAATGCAATCAAAACACAGCGTGACAATCAGTTCAAAGAGGCAAATTCGCGAGTCTGACTCATTCGTTCATACATTTCAAGCACCATCCGGTAATCCTTTCGGGTGAAGCAGCGACGGAACTACAACAATGAGTGTACAAACCAAGCATCAGTCGACAAAAGGCATACCGTAGTTATAGGGGGCAAATTTGTCACTCGTGACTCATCTTGATTAAAGCAAGAAGACAACAATCAGTCAATGGCGCACGGTTCAACTCAATAAAATTGAAAAGCATACAAACGCCTAGGTCATTGAGCAATATAGCCAAGGCAGACCTATCAATTGCATAATTAATACACGTGTCAACAGATTAACCATTCATCCATTCAAGCAGTGTTTCGGCTGCTTTCAACGCTATTTCTAGCACAAATGAACTCAAGTTCATGGCAAATAGAGCCGATCACTTCCCACATGGTTCGACTCGTGTCCAGGCATTCGATCCGTCATCAACGGGAGCGACATATCAGACACTTCAAGTAATGGCAACAGTTCCGACTCGTGTCCAGGACGGCAATGATGCACGTAACCAAACCGAATGAGAGTCATGACGACAATCACTAAAGCGTCAACCCAAAATGAGACACGAAGGTCATTCTCCTGTCCACTGAATCGGCATGGCGAAAGTCATTCCAAACAGACGCACCTGCCTTTACCAGTCAAAATACAAAGACACACACACACATACACACTCACACACACACACACACACACACACACACACACACACACACACACACACACACACACACACACACAGCGAGAGAGAGAGAGAAATATACACACTCACATTCACACACTCACAGCGAGCGAGCGAGCGAGAGAGAGAGGAGAGAGAGAGAGAGAGAGACAGAGAGAGAGAGAGAGAGAAACCCAACACGACAGAGGGAGATCACACGCCCCAGCAATTAGGACTCCACTGTTTTCTCGCTTGTCAATTGTAGGGAAAACCTATCGTGATCCCCTCGGAAAGCACATCATGAACAATTATCATCCAGCGGTTGGGAAATGCCAAGTACCTCCAAGCGTGCGAGTAAGCAATGCTTTCAATGCTTACGCGCCCGAGGTCTCTCCCACCTTCTCGCCCAGCAAATCGCGGCTATCATCACCAGCTGAGCGAAAAGTTTGGTTCCTTTCTGGTAGCACTGCTGGTGGAATATGTAGATATCGGAGAAGACCGCTCGTTCACACAAG